ATTTTGGAATTTACTTCTATAATTACCTCAATCATTTTTTCTTTCATTATCTTTTACTTTTTTTCATCAATTTTATTGATAAATAATCTATTAGAAAACTTGACTGACCATCTTTAAAGTGTATTTAGTAGTGAGGAAAGAAATAAATAAAAAATAGAGTGAAAAAGTAGAAAAATAAATGAGTAAAAATAGGTATGTATAGAATAGAAATTTAATTGTTTGATTTTTTGGTAGATTCTTTATATATATATATATTTGTTTGGTTTAAAAATAGGTGAGAATTAAAAAAATTATAATGAAATTAATTTTATGCAAGTTATATATGTCTCAGGAGTGTTTAATCGACTACAAATTTTTTTAATCATCGATTCTAATAGTTAGGGGTGGTTTTCAACCACTAGTACTTATTTAAAGAATGCAAAAATAAATAAATAAATAATTGCGGCCGTTACAAACCGTTAGAAAAATTTTAAAATTATAAAAACAATACATTTTATGGTGGTTTATAACCTAAAAAAAAAACTGCTACAAAATACAGCACTTTATTCTTCTCTAATGCATTTTCATCTCTCATTTCTCACCAACCAAAATATCATATTTTTTTTCATTCTCCCCTTTTTATTTCTCACCTGTTTCATATCATCAAAACAAGGGGTTAGTGGGTCTCTCCTATTATCTACATTATTCTCTATTAGAGGAGCCGAAACACTTTGTATCTTTAATAATTTCATGCAGAAAAATATTAAAAGTTAAAAATAATTATTTTAAAAAAATATAAGAAGAATTTTTTTTTATTTTTTTTATTTTAAGAAGTATAATAGTCCACTAAAAAGTAGATATCAAAAGAGTGATTATCAAAATATATATCCTTTATAATAAGTATAGATATACAAAATTTGAACCTAAAATATTATTTAAATGAATAAAATCTAGTTGTATTCAGACAACAATTTGTTGCTAATTACTAATTTAATATATATTCAAATAAATATATTTATTTGTATATTTACTAGTGTAAAAAAACACTTCATATCTCTCTATATTTAAAAATAAAATAAAAATAATAAAAAGATAAAAAATAATGAAGTAGGTGGTTATTATTTTTTAAGGGGTAGTTATTTATTTTTATATATAATTTTTTTATTTTATCCTTAATTATATATTGGTGAAAGAAAATTAAATCTATACTTACTAATAATAAAGGAGATTACTCCATTGATGTCCATAATTTCTATACCTATTTAACCCTTAATAACTTCTAAAAAGAATTGTTAAAAATTGCTATAAATATTAAAATAGTAAAAAATATCATTAAAACTTATCATTTTTTTTACGAAGAGACAAAGTGTCTTTTTTTTTACTAGTATAATAGAGATATAATTGTGTTTGAAAAGTAGACACCAATATAAGATATCCTTTTATATATCATTAAAGATAAAAATACTATACTAATCACATAACATGTTATGTTGATATATGTGAAGTAAATATAATTAACAAAAGCAATTTAATGTAATAATATCGCGTGTGTGTATATACACTAGATTAAGATGGTTTAATTCAATTGGTACTTAGTTGAGTAGAGTTTGTGAATTGTTGTAAATTTAATTGCTAATGAGTTTGATAACTCTTTCTAAATACCAACTTAATTAAATCATCTTAATCGCATATATAAAGTATTAATTTGTTTTTAATTATATAAGTTAATAATATTTAATTATACAATATTTAATATCACTTAAATAAAAGTATTTATTTATATTATAAAGATAATAATTCAATAACAATACATGCTACATTAATATCTTTATAATAAATATTATTAAGTCCATTAAATTTAATTAAATCTAACGTCTATCGTAAAATCAAAGTTTTGATGGATAGCTAATGTTAAGTCCTATTTGCACACATGCATGCATATATATGAGAAATAACTTTATATATGAGGTAAACTTTGTTAATTAATCGTTAAACTTCAACTTTGTGTAGAAGGTAAACGTTGTCAATAAATCGTTACGCTATAATTATATATTCTCACATTTATGTCAAAATTGAACAATAATAAAAAAAATTTAAAATTAATCATATTTTAACATATTTTAAAAAATATATATTACATTAATTTTTTTAACTTGTATGAAATATCAATAATTTTGAGACGGAATAAAACTTTATATAAATAATAAGGTGAAAAGAAATTACAATTTGACGGTGATATTTTTTTTTAAAAAGACGTAATTAAAATTATTAAATGGTGTAATAATTAACAAAAATTACACCAACATAATTTTATCCCCTCTTCTATATAATGAATTGATACCTCGTTGCAAAATCCATAAAATTGATAATTTATTTTACCGGCTTTACAGAATGTCCGTTTTGACACAAACTTCAACAATTCCTTTCTTCCACAGTGATACGTTTTTCAAATAAAAGAAAATTGTTATATTTTAATATATTCTGTAAATAATTTTCCAACTAATGTATGAAGAAAATATTAAAGAAAAAATACATTTAGTATCCTAATAGTATAATTTTGTTTTTGAATAACTAAGAGGATTATTATGATGTCAAGATGATGTTATTAAATGAAAATTTAGAATAATTCTAAATGAAACACCTTTCCTATGTAATAATGAAACATATACGAGCGAGCATTTCATAATTATTTGTTACGTCACTTCATATGTACACTCAATTAATCAAATTGGACTATACATAACACGACAACTCACCCATAAATTCAAAAGATGGAAATTCTGTTAAATAGAAGACAAGAGATAAAAGGTTTAGAGGAAAGCTGAATGATCATAAAAGACATATAGATAAACAAAATAACATAGGATATCTATTATCTAATGATGGTACTTTTGTCCTTTTAAAATTGTCCATGACCTACAAATCAGATATTGAAGTGTGTTAGCCACTTACATCTAATAATCTCATGAACATGATCAAATGGCGATTCTTTTAGATAATTATGAAGACCAAATTTTATTGGGGCAATATTAAATGGAAAAAATAACATTCAGTTTAATTTGGGATTTTACCATCCATACAATTGAATAGAAAAGTTACACACTGAGTGGGTTCGGGCCCTTTTGAATTGGTTTCTTTTATACAAAGGCCCAAAAGTGGCAGCAGCAGAAAATAAACATATAAGTCAAAACTCCAACTTTCAGGAAAAGCTAAGAAAATAGTCGTTTTAAGATTTCATATATATATATATATATATATATAGAGAGAGAGAGATAGATAAATATAGATATAGATAAATATCTCTGGAAGCATTTTTAAAAGAAAAAATTAAAAAATAAAATAATTTTCTTTTTCATAAATTAAAATCAACTTGTTTATAAATTAATTTGTAAAATTTTTCTCCGATTAGCTTTTCTAAAATCTTATTTTTAACTTGTCGCATAAATTAATTTTAGTTTATAGAGGGGTTTATTTCAATATTATATTATATTTATTTCTTTAGAAATATTTCTAGGAAAAAATTATCCAAACATATTCTTTCTGATAAACCAGAGACTCAGGTCTCTAAAAGTGGCTTTTTCTTGTTCCCCAAAAGTCGTTTTCTTTTACGCTAAACAAAGGAAGCAAGCCAAAAAAAAGCAACCAATGCATGGTCCAAGTCGAAGTGTTACTACATTATCTTAATTCCTGGTGCTACTTTTTTTTTTTTTTTTCTTTAAGTTTTTAGACTAAAAGATTAATAAATATTTATAAAAAAAATAGAACACGATATTAAGAGATTAAGTCATTGCTACCTGTAAAGCTGTTCCATGAGCACAAGTAATGCTATTTGATGATTTAAGACCAGTGAAGATAACTTGATTGATAAGTTAGCCCGTTCCCGCATTTTTCTTCCATGACCATATGGTCCACCGATTAAAAAGGATAATCGTGAAGCACCCTGTGAGAAAGCAGAAATCATGAAATAAATTTTTTGAAAGGTATTTTCATAATAAAAGAACAAAAGAGCTATAACATGAATGGAAATCACAAGGGAATGGACATTGTCGCCACGCAGACAAATATAGAATTAGAAATATAAAACAACTTTGGCTTGAAAACAGAAATTCAACAATGCAGTAAACATGTAAAATTTATCTTTGCACAGAGATGAATCTGTCAACATTTATTATAAGCTGCAAAGGAAAGTCTCAGGAGACAAAGATCCAGTCCTAAGAAAAATAGAAACTAAAATTGGTGATGCTATATTTCGAGATGCATCTAATAATAAATATGATTAAATACAAACTTGCATTACAGGAAAGGAAATCACACTTCAGGAGTTCAAAACGTGAGAAACTATTTAGGCCTGCGTTAGAGATAGATGGTTTTGTACAAATAACAATGCATAGGTCAATTATAGAGCTGGGGTGGTGACCTGCAAGTTTATAAAAACTAAAAGTAGATTTAATCATTCCGGTGGCTATTAAAAATGTTTAGTGATAGCTAAGTCAATTCACTATAAACAAAGCTCATGAAAGATAGAAAATACACAAAAATGATTGATATAAGCACTGCCAAAAGTGAGAAATATGAATGATACTATTTTACTATCACACATGATTGACAGGATATGAATTGTGGTATTCAATCTCTATTGACAGGATATCAAGGGTCTATTACATGATTGACAGCTTATGAATTATGATGCTTTCTTTCATTATAATGCCATAAAGCATACTCAGTACTCATATTATGTCAATGCTTAAAAGAATACCCATGTATGGAAGAGATCATTTACAAAATTTCTTACAGTATTTCCTGCATCACCCACCAACTCTGCCATTTGCTCAGATCCTATGTCTTGCCCACGTTCATCCAACATCACAACCTACAAGTACCGGTACATATCAGGCAAAACCTAATTAGGACTTAGGAGGGAAGAAACGGCCAATTCTTGATGATATAACAAAGATCTATAAATCTGTAATTACCACACTCTTACAAGTAAAGTAGGTTTTGACTTTCAAGCAAGGACTTAAAGTAAACACTGTTACAGTGTTTGCAAAAATTGGAACCATGTCAATCGTGGTAATTAAAACATGACATAAATCTTGATGGATGGAGTGAGTGTGCGGGTTGAGTTCAAAGTGGGTGTAGTAGTCTATGTGGTAGAAAGTATACCTTACTGACAAGAAAAGAAACCTGATTTTAGTTCCAATATCATGGATAAGTGCATAAAGACTATTAGCAGTTAAAACATAACAGTATACTATAGAATTGACACTACCATCTACTTAGGTTTAATTTGACTCCATTGTTCCATTAACACAAGACTCAGCTGCAGGAGTATATAGTATAATAAGTCGCACTACACAGTTATGGTGAGGAATAAGGATGCAACAAGGCTTCAGATATGGATCTGTTGCTTTCACAAAAGTGGGGAAAGGAGAAAAATTAAAAACAATTCCGAAAGTGTGGAACTACAGAATTAAACTGCAGAACAAATGGAAGCATCGTATAACTTAATTTATATATGAATTTGGTCCTCAAAGTTATGCCCATTTTTGGTTTTAATGCTGTGAAAAGTTTATTTGTTTAGTCCTTAAAAATTACAAAACCATGTTCTTTTAGACCCTACAAAAACAATATGGTTTAGGTCCCAGCCCCTCACCAGGGACTAAAAGTACTTTTTTTTTTGGTATTTTTTAGGGACTAAAAGCAAATGTTTTTTTTTTTTTGTAATGTTTAAGAAACTTTTACACGATCACATTTTCAAAGACCATACATATATTTAACCCTTATAACTTCGTAAGCAAGCACCAAGCAGTAATTGTTCTGAACACCAAAAGCAATTCCTTTATTCCACTACTACTCTAATTTAAATTTCATGCATTTTGGAGACTATACCCAATCATCAGACCTTATAAGGTTCATCACCGCCTCGTCTTCAGCATCAACCTGAGCCTTTTGGTCACTGCAAGGCAACCAAATGATCCACTCTTTCTATGAGACAAAAAAAACGCAACAAAATTGGAATGTAATCTATCTGGCAAAAACTGGCAGATACCATCTTATATACATACACACACATATTCACAACACAAATCTGAAATTCGCATTCGTCATTCAAAGGTCAATAAAATGAAACTGTGCTCCAGCAAAAGTAACACAATGAACTGAACCCACCGTGCATTTCGAGGATTTGGCCTTACTTGAACATCCTCAACACTGCAATAGTACCTGAGCTTATCAACATACTCATCAACCATGAGTTGTAGTCCACGTGATCGCTTCTTCCCCACTGATAATATTCGTATAGGAAGTGCTCTCTACAAAAAATTCACAAACTCAAAATAAATAGAGTAAATAGTCTATCTCTATCGACAATGTAAAACATTTTTATACTGTCATACAATCACAATTGTCATGAATGATCACTTTGTTGTTAGCTTTTATAATAACTACTTAAAATTATACTTATATAATTGCATAAACGATCATGTTAGTCCCGAATTTAGAAAATGCTTTCATATTAATCCTTAGTTTAAAACTAAAAAAATGTCAAATAAGTTTATAAAAGTACAAATTGACAATTATATTAGTCAGAAATAATAAAAAATACTTATAAATAAAATAATAATATTGATATATATTTATTTAGTAACACAAAAAATATAATTAACATACTCTTTTGAATACACTCTTTCTAATTCTGATACTCTTTCTAATTAATTTAAAAATTTATTGAAAAATGAAAAAGTTAGTGAATGTCACACCCTATTTAACGGCTCACTCTCCTTATTTGGTGATTTTCAATAAATTTTAATCAATAAGAGAGACTATCAGATAATGTATTACTAGCACTTCTCAATTTAGTAACACAAAAAGCAGTTAAATTTTGGAACTACCATCCATGCAGAGAATAATAAAATAAACAAATGTAAACCCTAACCATTCGGAATTAATTTTTTTTTTTCTTTTTGAAGGAGCAAAATTGTTTGGTAACTATTATGAATATTGAAAGTGAAGAGGGTGCAAATTGTGAGGAAGAGATAGTTTATACCACTGATTGACCTTCGAACTTGCATTTTTTACCTGAAAAAAAAAAATAAAATCGGCGTGAGGGAAGAGTGTGAGGAAAATGCGACGCAGAAATGAGTGTGTGTGTGTGGGTAAGAACTAAGAACCTTGAGCAGGATTGAAACTAACACAGAGGTTCAGTGCAGTGCCCATTCGAAGGAGAAACAAAAGTGGCGGAAAGTGAAAACCAACGAAGTTGGTCACATTCGGGAAATGGATGCAGAGTGAGATTTTGTATTTTGTAACATTAGAAATTGGTGGGTTTCGCTGATTATGATGACGTGGATTTTTTAATTTTAAAATATTTACTCATGTTAAAAAAGGGTTGGTCATTGGTGGATATATTTTATGATAATTTTATTCTTAAACTTTTAAATAATAAAAATAATATTAAGAATTAATTATTTTTATAAATATAATATTTAAACTTGAAATCTTAAGATTTAAAAATTAAACGTAACATTTAAAAATATTAATAATTTTTAAATATTTTTATTAAATAAAATATAGAATATAAGGTACAAAATGTCTCGATCTCACATTCTTATGAATATAAGACTTCAACTTTAGATCTTAATGTTTGAAAATTAAACACAACACCAATTAATATAATAAATATTAATAATTTTAAATATTTTTATTAAATAAAATGTAAAAATAAGAAGTGTTTCAACTCTAATAATAAAAGATTATGTGAATCAAAATTCTACCAACTTTGAAAAGTGAAATCTTTAATAATGAAATTCCACCATAATTTTTGCCAACTTTGGAATGAATTTTTCGATTATAAAATTCCACCATTCTGTATCTTAAAAATAAAACATCATATTTTAATATACTACTTTTTATTATATTTGAATTTATGGTTTAGGTTTTTGCTTTTCACACAAAGTCATTTTCTAGTCTTTTGTTAGAAAGTTATTTTATGCACTTCTAACTCGTAGATCATAGAGAAAAGTCTAACATAATAATAATAATTAATTGAGAAAGAGTAATAATGCAATAGAAATTAAGTCCTCTTGTTTGCAAGAATATGCAAGGAGCACTAACAAAATAAAACAAAAAAGATAACCTAAACACATAAGAGATATAAATATTTTCAATATGAAAAATTCTTCAATGTAAGGGTAAAAATCACGAGTCATTTAGACTAAAGAAAACCCCACTATGATCAACAAAAGGTACAAGAGAGTCTCCAAAGAACGCACCAAATAATATTTACAATCAACCAAAGCGAAATTGAGCACAATTACTTACAATTGAGAAATATGAAGATGAAAAGTCTCATAATAGAGTTGTTCGAGACGCTTTTCTCCCACGCCAAACTTGCTTTCGACAATCTGACCATTGAATATGAAACGTCGTATCGTATGAACCTATTATCCAAAAATCAATCTAATCCAATAGTAAATGAATCTTTAATTACAATTCAATATGTTGTCTGGTGGATATGCAACCTGTAACTTTCTCTATTCTTTTCTCTCTATATTTTGTTGCTGGGTCTCGGACATCCCATTTTCTCCCACGGTTGCAATGCTGAATCTCGGACATCCCATTTTCTCCCACGGTTGCAACGCTGAGTGCATAAATTTTATGCATTTTCATGGCTTTCCCCTTTATTTTTCACCTACATTTCACCAATTTTCCTCCTAAACACTATCTATACTTATTATCTCTACTAGATTCGTTCATGCAACCCAGAAACCATAAGAAAGATAACATGCAAGCACCAAAACTCAAAGAAATCATCAACATTTTTAACCTTTTATCAAGAACACCAGAATTAGAGTTTCAACATGCAACCACTTTGAATCCATCCCCACAGCCACAAATTTTCAAAAATCCTACTAATTTTAAGTTCCAATTCATTCAACAACCCAACATATTAACCAAAAACTCAAGATTTCCAACTTTCCTTACCTTCCCGGAGAAGGTCCACGAAGAAGGGAAGAAGAAGACGACCTCGCACACCACTGACTTGAAGTTCCTAACCCTGGAGCTCGGACTTCCTGACGCTTTCTAGTGATTAGCTGTGAGAATGGTAAAGAATGAAGGGTTTAAGTGAAAAAATGAAAAAGAAGAGAGAAAGGGAAAGAAAGAAGAAGTGTTTAGGTTCTCTTCCTTTTAAGTCATATCTTACAATATAAATATATAAAATGATTCAAATAATAGATAATAATCCTAATAGTCGATGAAACCCACTAAATACAATTAAAACAGCTACATTGAGGTAACTCCAAAATATCAGCGCCGCCAATAGACATGGCCTTCAATGGTCTCCATCATGTAACCTATCCTTATTTTACTCTTATACCAAGTATGATCATCGCAATCCAACCACGTGGAAATATACAAGTGTAAGCTAGAGTTTAAAGAATCAACATAATCAATATAGAAATAAAACAACTATACTATCAGTATAAACAATCTAACTTATTACAACATAGTATCAACTTACAACTTTCAACATAATAACAGTTTCTTTTTACTTAAACAATCACAACATCAACACCTCACCTTTTCAACACAACAACACAACTCATCACAAGTCAGCATCTCATATGAAAAACTATGACACCCTTACTACCCCAACACATATATCGTAATAGTGTAATTAAACTAAGGAAATAAAGGGTTCACATAAAAACCTTTAGAAACATTCTTCAATATCCAAAATATTTTGAAAATGAAACTTGAAAAATGAAACATAAGAGGTTACAAAATGTTTTCAAAATAATAAGTACAACTCCATGTACAAATAAAATTCATGTCCTATAAATTCTTTGCCCTGATGTCACAATATCAGAGCATACCCATAATTCAACTATTGTCATTTTAGATGCCACTCATAGCCGAATCTTTCTCACCTAAAACATCCATAAATTGTACGGTGAGAAAAGAAAACATCTATATGTAAAGCACATAAGGAAAAACACAACATAATCTCATCATAACTCATTACTTAATGAAATATTCACAAGCATTTCTATATATCATAACTTTATCAATCATGCATCATCTTCACGTCATAATTCGCAATCACACCAATCCATCACAAATCTTGCAATTAACACTATCATTTTCACATTCATAATCCACACAAATCTTACAATTAACATTATCACTTTCACATTCATAATCCACACAAATCTTACAATTAACACTATGCCAAGGCCACGCTACAACTGACATAAGTGATACGGGTTAATTGCCTCACTCATCCCACACTATGTCAAGGTCACGCAGTCCTTGTAGCATCACTTACCCAAGGGTCGTGCCATCCCTGGTCATTAGTGTGAGGAACTACAATCACATTCATAATCCACACAAATCTTACAATTAACCATATGCCAAGGCCATGCCACATCTGACATAAGTGATACGTGTTAATTGCCTCACTCATCCCACACTATGCCAAGGTCACGCCATCCTTGTAGCATCACTTACCCAAGGGTCGTGTCATCCCTGGTCATTAGTGTGAGGAACCACAATCACATTCACATTCAATACATCTCATCTCATAATTCAATTTCATATCACATACACACAACAGATAAGTCCAACAAAATAGTGGTTCACATACCCCTCAAACAATTCACCATGAATTCACTTCTAAATCATCAATTTTTACCATATAATATAACAATAACATTTATAAATTAATATAACACTCAATTGAATCACCAATTTAATAGAATCTTAACTCAAATAGTAAAACCCCCAATTTTTCCCAAAACCTAACTCACAGACACTTTTCTACAATTTCATTCTCTCTCCCAGATCATCATTTTTACAAATTAATTATATATTCATAATCCTTAACACATACAGAATCTTATAATACCAATAATTCTCCAAACAGAAACAATTATAAAATTATTAAAACTTCCACAGGAACTCTTCTCCACCCATTCCCTCATGTGACTCTACACATAAATCTCCCTTTTTCCCCGTACCTTGATAAGCAATAGCTAAAACTAAAGCATGATCTGGTTGGTCTCCTCCTCTAGGTTCCCCTCAGTCTTCAGAGAATGTAGAAGGAAAAGAAGTCAGAACTGAAAAGTGTGCTTTTTTGGAGTGTTAGAGCGCTCTATTTATAGGCATCAGGAGTAGCTGGAACGACCCGTTTCAAATCTGGAATGACCCGTTTTGGACTCTTTGTCATGTGTAAAATTTCATATCTAGAATGGCTCCTTCTAAAACCAGGACGACCTGTTTTGGGGTTACATTTTAACCCATAACGGCCATTTTTGGAACGGTCCGTTCTTAAACCAGAACGGCCTATTCCCAACTAGGGTTACAAGCCTTTTTGGTAATTTGGAACGCCCCATTCCAATTGGGAACGCCACGTTCTCAACTAAGATTTGTAGGCAATTTTAATAGTTTGGAACGGCCCGTTCCAGTTTGGGAATGACCCATTTCAGTTTGGGAACGACCCATTCTAGGCTGCTAAATCACCCTTATTGTGCTTTGGGCCTTCGTACAATCTGTGAAAATTGGGTTGTTACAACAACACAACTTAATCAACACATTATATGCTCAACACAACAACTATATACGTCATCGCAAATTTCAAGTAGGAGATTTTTTACAACACAAGTAAGTAGTCTAAGTGACTTGACCTTACCAAACCAACAACTCGATCTTTTTAATCTAATTAGATCAACAACCAATTTGGATAAAAATTTACAACACAACATGGTTTCTCAAATTTTGCCACTTAAACTAGGAAGTCTATTATTATTGTAAGGTAGAATAACTTAGGTGTGAGTCTACCATGATATTAGCTAGCATAACTAAGCCACTTATGGGATTAATTAGTTCGCCGACTACCCTCTAAATACTACGTGCTTCCAGTACTTAGTTAGGAATTTTGACCCCTAACCTTGTACCTTACTCTAATTTGGCCGCTTTATATACATATGTCTCGACCTTCTCACATACGGATCAACAGTGGTCACTTGTAGTCGGTATGCCTCGACTTGACCTACATACCTCATCAATTAAGGTCTTAGAGAAGACACAACTATCCATTTTCTAAGAGGGATTTTCAACAAATTGGACTCTTAGAGTACCACAATACAATATCTCACAATGAGATATGTAACTTTAAAACAACTTCTCTTTTAGTCATAGGTCGATCAACATAGTACAACTTTAATGCCAAAGCATTCTCAACATAAATACTCAATTAAACAACATAAAACTCAACTTTCAACCATTC